CAGGGCAGCCAAGATACTTGAATGGAATAGGTCATAGTCTTTTACTTAAAAAGACTCAGCAAGGAGAAGTCGCACTGCCATACACAGCTGCAGCCACATCCCGTCGGGTCTGCTCCCCGCAAAAAACTTCGTTTTGCCTCCCACGACCTTGCAAAGGGCACCCACCCCACAGGCACTGCTATATTTATATATGTGAAATACAGCCAGCGCCGGCTGGGCCGCAAGCCCTTTCCGCGGCTTCCCGGCCCCTCAGCCCCGGCCCGAGCTCTGCTCCGCACCGCGGAACCGGCCCCAGCCCCAGCCCCCCTCACGGGGCGCGGAGGGGACGGGGAGACCTCGGCAGCTCCTGGGGAAGGGGTCGGGACGCCCTTGAGGCTCGCACAGTGCGCGGCCGTGCCCGGAGGACGCGGTGAGGGGAGCGCGGAGCCCCGGGCAGGGCGGACAGAGCCCGGGTCGGAGCGCACAGCGAGCACCGGGTCGGAGCGGGCAGGCCCAGCCAGCCCCCCGAGCCGGGCGGGCAGCCCGGTCCCTCCTCACCAGGTCTGCAGCAGTTGCGCGTAGCGCGGCCCCAGCAGTTGGCTCAACATGGCGATGGCGCCGCCTCAAAGTGACCCCGAGCGCCGGCGCGGCCGTGGCGGCGGAGCCGCTCCGAGCACGCGCGGGGCAGCGGCGGGGCGGGGCCGGAACCGGGCCGGGCCCGGGACAGGGCGGGACGGGCAGCGGGGCGGGCCCAGCACCGGGATGGGCACCGGGATGGGCACCGGGACAGGGCGGGACGGGCAGCGGGGCGGGCCCAGCACCGGGATGGGCACCGGGACAGGGCGGGATGGGCACCGGGACGGGCCCTGTACCGGGACAAGCCCGCGTGGGGCTGAGGGGCTGCGGCCGTGCCTGTGGGAACCGGGCACACGGGTCCTGAGGGGACACGGGCACTAAGGGGACACGACCTGAGGAGATGGGCTGTCGCCACACTGGAGAGAGGACACCAGCCCTGATGAGACACGGACCTTGCTAGGACACGAGCCCTGAGAGGACGGGCTTGTCTTTGTGCCGGAGGGGGAACGCGAGCCCAGAGGGGACGCGGGCCGAGGGGACAGGCTGTCCCCACACTGGAGAGAGCACAGCAGCTGCCGTGGCAGAACAGGCTGTCCCTGCACTGGGAGGGGACATGAGGCCTGAGGGGACAGGATGTCCCCAAGCTGGAGAGGGGACACGACCCCTGAGGGATGGCAGTGCTCCCGCACTGAGCTGACGCTGCTTCTCAGCCTCTTGTACTGCAGGGAAGTGCCCCCCTTCCCAAAGCGGTTTCCCCAGAGCCCATCAGTGCCCCCACAAACCCTCCTATCATGGCCACTGTCTCCCCCAACAGGAGAGGAAGTTTTCAGCCAGGTATTTCAGGAGAGGGTCATAAAATCACCACCAATTCCATAATGTTCCTCAGGCTCTGCTCGGAGCCTGGTCAGCCTCTTAGGAACGAACATGCAAGAAGAACACGAACAGATACCCCAGAGCAGCTGTGGCTGCCTCTGGATCCCTGGAAGTGTCCAAGGCCAGGCTGGACAATGGTGGGGTCCCTGCCCATGGGATGAGCTTTATGATCCCTTAGAACCCAAACCATTCCATGATTCTGTGCTTGTCTGGCAGTGTGGGCATAACATGCCATTTGCCCACAGGATCTGGTAGTCTCATCCCAGCTCATCTCCAGCTGATAGAGACTCACCTCCAGGGAGGGAGTGCTGGCAGGAAGCTCAGTGGGTGGCCACTCTCAGATCTTGGGAAGCTGTATGCTCTCAGCAACTCCTCTGTGCTGCTCCTTGCTCCTGTCCTCACCGGCTCTCCCAGCCGAAGCCTGCTCTGGACACAAGCACTCACCTGCTTTCTGCTCTGCCCTGTGCATTGTTGAGCATCCATCATCCAGGCTGCTCCCAAGCATACACTTCTCCCTCGTCTGGATCTGAGTTGTGAACCGCTGGCACAGGCTGCCCAGGGCAATGGTGGAGTCACCATCCCTAGAAGCATCCACAAAAAATTGTGTGGATGTGGCTCTTGAGGACATTTTTAGTGGTGAACACGGCAATGCGCCAGGTTAACGGTTGGACTGTGTGATCTTCAAAATCCCCATCTTAATGATTCTGTGATTTTATGATGGAGTTTAAGGGACTGTCATTCCATGCACCTATAGCAGCTTGGGAAGGGCAGAGCTGCCTCACTGCTGAGAGAAGGCACCCAAAGCTAAGGGAGATGTAACCAACCATGCCAGAAACACTTCTCAGTTAGTCAGGACTGTCCTGCTCTGTACGAGCCTCGAGCTGGAGCAGCACAGTGAAAACACAGACAGCACACCTGGGGAAGGAAAGCTGCTTCCAGGCAGATCCTTGTCTCTGGAAGTGTCCAAGGCCAGGTTGGATGGGGCTTATGGTCCAGTGGAAGGTGTCCCTGCTTGTGGAATGAGATGGGCTTTATGGTCCTTTCCAACCCAAATTAGTCTGTAATTCTGTGAAAGTCCTGGGGGACTCTGGAGCCCAAAGGGCAGGAGGATACAGCCAGGTAGGGGTCGGGCTCTGTTCCCATGGAACAAGGGACAGGACGAGAGGAAACGGCCCCAAGTTGTGCCAGGAAAGGTATAGGTTGGATATTAGGACAAATTTCTTCACAAAAAGGGTTGTCAGGTACTGGAACAGGCTGCCCAGGGCAGAAGGGTAAAGTCACCATCCCTGTTCAAACAATGGATGTGGTGCTGGGGGCATGGGTTAGTGGTGAGCTAACAGTTGGACTTGATGATCTAAAAGTTCTTTTTTTGATTAATTTCTTCCATCACCAGTCTGTGCTGGGCTCCTGGGATGGGCTGGGGGCATTTAACTGTGGGATTTCCCACTTGTGGCTGCTCCCCAGGGACAGAGGCAAGGAAACAACAGTGATGCAGGGGGCAGGGCCCACACCCAGAGCAAGTGTCTGAAAACCTGTCTGGTGTTTTTTTTTCGTTTTTTCTTTTTAGTACAAGGCAAAGCCTTTATTCCAACTTTTCATTCCTAGGGATACAACATCTGAAGGACACACATGGGGATAAAAAAAGTAATATTGTTATAAAATGTCACATTTATTGCTACATTACTGTTATATACAGGACAGTTCTCAAAATCTACTTTAAAAAAGTTAGGATTATTTAAAAATTCCAAATAATCCAGCCAGCTGTTTTGACACTTGTATAAAATTATTTAAAAAAATGAAAACAATTCATATCTTGAGGCACTCAGAAACACAATTTCATCCCCCAATTGTGATTCATTTCAAAGAGCAACGCATTTCCCACCCCCAAATACTTTATTTTTTTTTTTTTTGCTGGGTTAGGCATATATATATATATATTTACTATATATATAGTTCAAAACTATAATGTGTATCTGATTTAAGAACAAGGATTTCAGCCACTTAAGTACATCTGGATTTACAGGTAGGCAGCATAAACATCAAAAGCAAGGACCATTTTTTATTTTAAAGGCCAAAAACCAAAAACAACCCAAAAGTTTCTACAGGGTTTAAAATAAACAACTTTTGCAGGCATCTTCCATCTGCTCTCCCACCCCCATTCCTATAAAAATATAGAGAAAGGACATCCCAGGAATGCTTTGTTTCCCCAGAGAGCAGGAGCCCTGGGCACCCAGCGGGTCATTCCCAGTGTGGGGTTGGGATCCTCCTGTCCTGCCTCACCAGGTGCCTCTTTCCCCTCTCCTGGCACATGAGCAGTGCCTGCTGCTTCCCACAGCCCCTTCCCTCCCGAGTGGCTCCACGTTACAAGGTTTGCTCAAAAGCTGCTGGGTTTGAGTGATTGGGGAAGACGTGGCCCTGGGAAGGGAGACCTGCGGTGTCTCCAGCCCGAAGGGAGACCTGCAGGGTCCCCAGCTCGAAGGGAGACCTGCAGGTTCCCCAGCTCGAAGGGAGACCTGCAGGGTCCCCAGCTCGCTGCCCCCTGGAGCTCCATGGCCCCCCGGGCACAGCCCAGGGATGCAGGGCACGGGGATGCTCTGTGGCCAAAGGCCTTGGTACCAGCACACCCCGTTTGGAAGCAGAAACCCCTCTGCTGTCCCGAGCTGGTGCTGCAGCCACGCGGAGCTGAGATGTCCCGGGGTGAGTGTCACAGCCTCGCCCTCCACCACGGCAGGGCTGGGCTGGGCCAGGGTGGGAATGGAGAGCCCTGAGGAGCAGGAGGGGTACAAAACCAGGGAATCAGAGATACCCGTGTGGAGACCCACGACAGGACTGCCCTTGGCCCTGAGCTGGGCTGAAGGTGGACACGCAAGGTTTGCAGAAGGTCATGTGGAGCCTGCACCACCCTCCTAACCAGAGCCCACCTCCCCGTGGCCAAGCAGGCCAAGGCACAGCACTGCTGGCTCCCCAGAGGGCTGAATTCTCCTGGAAATCAAAGTACAGAGCACCAGGTCCCCTGACACCTGCTCCAAGGGCAGGGAGAGGCAGCTGTGCTGTGGGACACCGGCAGCACCTACCCCCCAAATCCTCCTGCCTGCAGCCCAGCCGATGGGCACTGCTGCCATGGGCTGCCCCTCTGCAAAGGGAAACAGCCCCGAGATGCTGGCTGGAGAGACTGGGGAGCATGGGAGGAAGGGAAACAGCCCTTCAGGCCTGCAGTGGCTGAAGGAAGAGCAGCCCCAGCTGAGCCTGAGGCTCAGGTGTTACAACAGGACAGTCTGGGCAGCAATGAGGTGGAAGAGAACTTCTCCTTTCAGGGGGGATGAAGGATGCTGGCAGTGCCCCACCAGCATCGAGCAGAAGGCACAGGAGGGTGAAGGGTGCGTGGAGGAGCCCCAGGACTAGGCCTTGCCTCCAGTTCAGTGCTCAGTGTGAGCTGGATGTTCCTACAGACTCATCTGCCCCCTCCCAGCTCCAGGGCACAAGTCTCAAAATGCTTTTGGAGCTGCCAGGAGTGAAGCTGTACCCTGAGGGCAGCAGGGAGCAGGAACTCGGGAGCAATCACAGACAAGAGCAGAGAGAAGGGGCTGGGCTGGGATCTGCAGAGCCCTGGGAGAGGGGAGAGGGATAAGATTTGCATAGGATTTTTAACAGGGCAAAGACCTTGTGCAAGCTCGGGGTACAGAAAACAGGCCTTGCTATTGCTGGTGTTGGGCAGGAATGGGAGAGTCCAGTGGCCAGGGCTTGCTCTGGGTTAGCCAGCACTGCAGGTGGGGGCTGAGGGCTTGTTCTGGCCCAGCTCCATCCCCAGCTTTGCTCCATCTCCCAAAGCCCAGGGATGGAACTGGAGCTGGCCCAGGCTCCCCACTACAGCACAGCAGGGCCTGCAAGAGGAACTTGTGTTCCACAGGCCCCAAAGTTGGCAGCAAAGCTCAAGGGTGCAGGGGATTGGGGGCTTCCAAAGCCTTCTGTTTCTTGAGCCCCCACAACTGGAACCACCCAGCAAGGGCCCAAAGGCTCTGCTGGCTTCAGTGGGGGCACTGGTGAGACACAAAGGACCTTGGAGAGCAGTTTCTGTACTGACTCTGGAACTACAGCCTCCTGAGGAAACCACAGCTTGATTCCATCCTTCCTGCCAACACACCTCTGTGGGATAGCTGTGACAGCAGGGGAGCAGAGATGCTGGCTGGGGCTGTGAGATCTGACAGGGGGTCATGGGCATGCCAAACAGCTGGAATTCTGCTCCCTGGGGCTGTGAGCAGGAACTGCCACCACTGCCTGAGCACCTACCCATGGGAGGCTGCAGCTGCTTTGCTCTGGGGAAAAGCAGGTGAAAAGGAAGAAAACAAAAATCTGCAATTTTACTGTTCATAGACAGGATCCCAGACACTCCCCAGTACTGTGGCATGCACAGCTTGTGTGCAGGGAGGCAGGGGCTGGCTGAGTGGGGCAACAGAGGCCCCTGGGCTGGGGACACAAGAAATGTCCCATGGCAGTGTCCCAGTTATGCTGCTTCACTGGGATGCAGCCTGGGGAAAGAGGAACTAGAAACTGCACAGAAGGGAAGGCAGCCCCCCTGTCTGATAAAGGAAGCTTTGGGGGGGCTCAGTGGCCCCAGGAGCAGCCATGCAAGCAAAGGCTGAGAAAGGAAGAAGGAAATGGAATAAATGGCACTGTACAGCATGTCACATGACACTGTGACACTTCTCCTGGCAGCATCACTGCTATGGGGACACACACAGGCAGAGGAGCAGGTCTGGGATTTGTAAGATCCCAAGTGGAATGGAGCAGAGCTGTGGACTGGGGAGGGTGCAGAGCTGGCCCTCGCTGACCACAACACCTAAAGACAAGAGTTTCATTGCTACAGGGTGACATTTCAGGGCTGGGCTGGTGGTGTTTTGGGGACAGCACCTGGCAGTGGTTGTTTTTAGAAAAGCCACTTCTCCTGGCATGTTACAGGCACCATGTTCACACTAAGCAAGACAAAGGAATTTTTTCTTGCTGCTCTTCCCAATAGTTCCCTGTGCACCTGGAAAGCAGAGATGCCACTGAGGCCACATTGGGCTGGCACACAAAGCTGTCACCCTGTGCCATCGAGGCAGCTCCAGGGAGAGCACTGCCACCCCCTACATTGTGCTTTTGAAATGATCTCTCCAAACTCTGGCTCTGAGGGCTTATGCTCAAGGATATTCACCCAAGCCTTGCCATGAAAGGAAGTTGGCTGGATTTGCTGTCAAAGTAACATTTTAAACCACCTAAATGCAGCTAAAAAGCCCCATTTTTGTTGCAATGCCTGGGGTTTCAGGGATGGTGAGAAAGGCTCTGGCTCATCGGGATTCCTCTCTGGCTGCAGAACTCGGAGGGGATGAAGAAGTTCAGCAAATTTGTGAACAAGTCATAAATCTTCTCAGATTTCCAATTTTGTTGAATTTATGGATTTTTCTTGACTAGTCCCTTTAAGTCCAGTTGTCCATGACTGCCACCTCTGATTCCTGGGGCAAAACCAATGGTTTGTGAACCACTTTTAAATATTTTTTGTAGCGTTTCAAGCTTTCCAGGGCTGGGACACTGCTCCATCCCTCCTGGCCCTGGGACAGGGGCACTGAGCCAGCCAAAATCCCTGAGCAGTGGGTACTTTGCAGCCCCAGCACTGACCCACCAATGGAGCAGGAACTCTCATGGATGAAACAAAAAGCAGCTGCTGAGCATTCCAGTTTGCACTCCAGAGCATGAATGGGAGTCAAGGCTGTCACACATGGAGGAAAACCTCATCCATTTCCCTGCCCACTGCTTCAGCAGCCAGAAGAACCCAAGGGAGGGAAGTGTTGTAACCTAACAATCTGATTAGGCTAAAATGTGTCTGTTGACACAGGCAAGAAGAACCTGGGTTACTGGAACCACTGAGCTTTCCTGGCCTTCCCAGGGACAGAGCTGGGGCTGCTGAGGTCTCACCATGCAGAAGGAATGGTGGGAACAGCAAGCTGGGGAAAGCCAGGAGCATCCAAAAGCTTCAGTGATGGCTGGATGCTGGGGAGCCCCAGGGTAGGGCCAGGGACAGCAGGGACAGTCCCAATCTGCCCTGGAACTTGGAGTGGCTCAGCTTGGAGCTGCCACAGGGACTGGGGCCACAGTGCCCAGGTGTGGGTGGGAGATAAGCACTGCCCTGAGCACTTCCAGCAGAGTTTGCCAAAGCACAGAGCACAGCCACGAGCATGGAGGAGCACCAGGGGTGCTGGGAAGTGCCACAGGACCTAATCCTGTTTGCCAGTCCCTCCCTTTCCCCGTGCCAGAGCAACAGAGCTTCCCCAGGAGCCCAGGCCGGAGCAGCACAGGGGAGAGATGGACAGCAGGGGAGAGAGGAGTTGCCACATCCCCCAGACCAGCACCCACGTCCCATGCACCATCCTGCCTGACTGGGCTCGGCAGAGCTGGGAAGAACCAGGCACAAAATGTTTCAGAAGGGGAAGGAGAGGGAAGAAACAAAGAGTAAATTCCTGGTGGATGTTTTTCCATGGCCATCTCCAGACCAGCTGCTGCAGCTCAGCACTGCCCAGCACCTCTTTGTTTGCTCCACACACCAGAGTGGTCTGGAGTGACTGGGAATCTCTTGGACTGAAGGCATGGATGGCCCAGGTTGGCTGCTGGAGCTCATGGTGCAGGACAGGTGCTCCTGCTGCCCTCCTTCCCAGTGCCAAGAGAGGAGCCCACGTGCAGGTGACAGTGCCCACTCAAAGCCCTTGGCACAGTGCTGAGTTCAGTCTGCCTCCAAGGATGCCCAGGAGATGTGACAGCAGGTGACAGCAGGGTGTGAAGCCACCCCTCTGCCCGAGCCAGCATTCTGCATTTCCAATGGTGGGGGCTCCACTGCAAGAAGGGATCCTGCTGGTGGTCATGGCTTTGCCAAGGCTGGAGTGAGCCAGGCCACTGCTCCTTTCGTGCTCCAGCATCCTCAGGTCTGCTGCTGGCCCTGTGTCCCACTGCTGCTGCTCTGCTCCAGCTGCCTCCACCTCTTCCCACTGCTCCAGCTTTGTTCAGTTGGTCTTTGTTCAGTGCTGCTCCTGGAAGTGCCTCCAGCAGCTCTGGCAGGTGGCAAGAGGCGCTCCCCTCGTGCATCCCTCGCTGCTCTGCTCACCTGGAAGCGCCTCAGTCCCTTGGTTCTCCTCCAACCGGGGCTGCTCCCTTTCAGCAGCTCGTCCTCCCCTCGGGATCTCCGGGAACAAAGCAAACCTGGTGAGTCACCCCGGCCACCGCCGGGGGGAGCGGGAGCGCTGCTGCCACTCGCTTTGCTGTTCAACTTCCTTTTCCCAAATCAGAAGTGGCCGAAGCAAAGAGACGGTGAATTCAGCACATGAGTTTGTTTGTTTTTTGTCATGGAAGGTACAAGCCAGGCAAGGAAGAACATTCCCTCACTGTGGCTACATTCGCTTTTAGTGGCTTTCTGAGCCGAATCTGAGAATTCCTCTCTTTATATCCAGTCTCTCTTAATACAATTTTAATATTCTGGTTGATCCTAAAGATGCAACGTTAACTATAGAAACAGCAGCAGAAAAGCGGAGGGTACAAGACATGTTTTTATACAAAAAAAATTTTTTTCGTTGCTTACAAAACATATGCAAAAGAAGCTAAAAAAAACCAAAAGGCATTGCTATTTGTTCTACATAAAAAATCTCATAACTAATGTTCTTTTTTTTTAAAAAAGAAATATCAAGCTTAGGCACAATTTTGCTGCTGGCTGCTTGTGAACAAGCCAAGAGAACACGCCACCCCCTCCTAACTGAGTGATATGTATTGACTGTTCTGCACTTTATACTTAAGGCAATTTTTTGTTTCCGTTTTGTTTCTGACAAAGTGTTTTTTCCACCCCTTACGTCACGTCAGGATCCGTCTGTATGTGTCAGTATGAGCAGTACTACAGTTTGTGGTTCAACAGGGTTGCAGGTCACACCGAGGGTTTTCTTCCTACAGATCTCCATATCCAGAGGAACAAAAAGATCTACAAATAAAATTAAAAAAAAAAAAAAAGTCTGAAGTGATAGGAACCCAAATGAGAATAAAACTGTGCTCCTTGCACAGGGGGCCCCAAGGCTCCTGCTGCAGCTTGTCCCGGCAGGGCTGGGCAGGGCAGCTGAGCTTTGCCTTTGTTTCAGTCAGGGCATCCTCAGGCACCCACCGGGGCAGGGGACACCAAGGGACTGTGTCCTCTCTATGGGATCAGCTCCTGACCTACCATTCAATCTGCTCAATCCCCCCCCACCATCTCTGCACTGCTCAGATGCTCCTGGGTTCCCTTAACAATGGGAACAGCCCATCAGAGCCTGTGCCTGCCAGCACTTTACCAGGGGATTTTCACCTTCTCTGACTCTCTTGGAATTTCTGGGACCTGCCCATTCCCTCTCATAGAGCCACAAGGAAAAGGAATTGCTCGTTTCCAGTAGCTAACTAGGGCAGGACTGGGAGGTGCAGAGCAGAGCTGAATCCACTTAGAGAGATCCAAACCCCCCCAATGCCAGCTATGGGGCTGCACTCTAGTGTGGGCCAGAGGCTTTGGGTGTCCATGGGTCACATCATACACAAAGAGAATCATGGAATGGTGTGGGTTGGAAGAGACCTTAAAGTTCATCTTATTCCACCCCCTGCCATGGGCAGGGACACCTTCCACTATCTCAAATTGCTCCAAGCCCCTCAAACCTGGCCTTGGACACTTCAGGGATGGGGCAGCCACAGCTGCTCTGAGCACCCTGTGCCAGGCCTTGCACACATGCAGGTCATTGATTCCAGGGAAATGAAGCAGGGCCCTGGCTGGTGCTGAGGGAGCAGGGCTGACCAGACAGAGCAGAACAGGACATGGGCACAGGGCTGGACCCACACTGGATGTGGGATCAAAGGTGGGGAGCAGTACCTTTACATGTGTCCAACAGGATTGTGACCATCTCCTAGACCAGGATGTGAAGCTGACAGTGTCATCTGGGGGTCTCCTACCACTCCGGACACTTTCTCCTCTTCCCGACGCTTCAAGCAGGCAGCTTTTGGGTTCAGATTGCGCTCTGCCCAAAACAGCAAGGGAGGGGAGCAACCTCAGTCTGGGCAACAGCATCACCCCTGGCAGCAGCATCCGAGAGGGACAGGAGGGACAGTGCCAGGCAGGCCCGTGGGAGGAGATGAGCTCTGTGCAGGCCCTGCAGGAATCTGCCAGGCCCTGCTCCAGCAGAACCCCAGGCTCAGCTGCACCCCCACTTACACATGGAATCTTGGGTTGGAAGGAATGTTAAAGTCCATCTTGTTCCAAGTCCCTGCCATGGGCAAGGACACCTTCCACTATCCCAGAGTGCTCCAAGCCCCAGTGTCCAACCTGGCCTTGGGCCCTTCCAGGGATCCAGGGGCAGCCACAGCTGCTCTGGGCACCCTGTGCCAGGGCATCTCCATGTGCTTGTTACAAGAACCCCCAAGTGCCTCAGCCAGCACTCAGAGTTGAGGACTGAATTTTCCAAAGCTGCTTAATGGGATCCAGGTGCCAAATTATATTAAGCGTGAGTGGATAGAGAGAGGAGCCTCAAATCCACCCCAGGCTGGGGCTGGGGAGAGCTCAGCACCCAGAGGTGCTGCTGGTGCTGCAAACACACACCTCACAGCAAAAGCAGGAATCAGGACAGAGAAGCACGAGCATGCAGAGACAGGGGAGGAGACAAGCCCCGAAATGCACCTGCCAGTGGTACCATACCTCGTACTTGCTGCTCCAGGCCCAGAATGACCTGCACCGCTTGCTGTAGGATGATCAGTTTGGTCTGTGCTTTGTCCGTTTTTAAGTGCATCTGGCACATGCGTCCCAGTTCCTTAAAGGCCTCGTTAATGTCCCGCACACGCACCCTCTCCCTGGCGTTATTGGCCATTCTCCTCTCCCGGTCCCTCAGATCTTTGTCCTCCAGTGACAAGGCCTCGTCTGTACTGCTGGGTTCATAGCACCACAGGGGTTAGTCAGGGGGTGCCACCGAGGGGGGCTCTATGTTGCCGTGCTGGAAGTGCTCCGGGTGTCCACTGGAAATGGCCCAAACAGCCTCACTTTGCAAAGCATATTCCTCTGGGTGCTTCCCAGAGCAGCCCAGGCTGTGTCACTTCTGTGAGCCCAGGGAAGGTGCTGCCAGCACAGGGCCAGGTGCCCAGGGGGCTGGAGAGGCCACTGGGGACAAGGGTGGGCATTGATGCAGCATCACTCACCAACACCTTCTACCCTCTGCGAAATTTTGTTTGTTTTTGACTGAGAACTCAAAGACTGGGGTAGTGTCTCTGCCAAAAACATCAGGTTTGTCCCCCAAGGAAAGATTTTGGCAGGAAGCAAATCCTTCTTTGTAAGATTTCCTTCCCAAATTCCATCTGCAGCTCCCAGTGCTGGTGCTTGGAGCAGTGGTGCTGCAGCAGCAGGAGCAGCCTGGCCTGGCACCCTCTTAGAGGCCATGGCAGCATTGGGAGCAGGAGCCAAGGCTGCTCTGAGGATCAGACCAGACTCGGATGCAGACACTGAATCCCAATCTTTCCACACAGCCAAAAGCCCACCAGAAGGGGTGATTTTCTTTTCCAGGCACAGCGAGAAGCTCTGGGAGAGCCCCCACTGCTCACAGCACCCCAGGGATGCCTGACCAAGCAGGCATGGGGTGAAGCAAAGTTGTGCTGGCAGCATCTTGAACCGTGGCCTTACCCAACCCCTCAAAAACCCCAATTTAAGCCCAGACGACCTTCTCCCCCAGAGCAAAACTTCTTGCAGGAAGACACCTGTCTGAGGAGGGTCCTTGAGTGAGACCTGACACTGGGACAGCCTGGGGATAAGCCTTTAGCAAAGAGGGCCCGCAGAGTCAGAGCCTTCCTGGAGAGCCTCCGGACAGTGCACAGCCATGTGAAGGGGAGCAGGGGCTCCCCGGGCAAGCACTGCCTGTGTGGGACAGAGGGCTGCCCACTGTCCCTGCTGCACCCTCTCCTTGCTGCCTTGTCCCTGTCTGTGTCTCCTCCTCACTGCCCCAGCTGGCACTGCCACCTTCTCTCCACAGGACCAGGACAGGCTGGGGGACGGGGCTATCCTGGCACCTGTGCCCCCCACACAGGATCCCAGATCCTTCCTCCAGCACAGGTTGGTGGCTGCAGTTCCCTGCTCCAATCCTGGCTGGTGGCTCACCCAGGAGGGACAAAGCTTGGATGTCACACCAGGGCAGGACAGAGCTGTGTCCCCACCACTGGCAGCTTGCACTGTGTGAGGATGGGATGCTTAGGCTGCCTTGTGCCCCTGGGGGTCACCAACCAGCCTAAAACTCCTCAGTCTCCTCCTTTCCCTTCCTGTAGCTGCTGTGGCAGTGGGAGGATCCTGGCAGCCCCCCTGGGCACACAGGGACACAATGGCCCCGTGCCCATGGCAGTGCTGCCAGAGGGGGTGTGAGGGTGGCATTCTGTCCTGGAAAGCAGCACAATCCCACAGAAGGGACACTGCACTAACTGCTGAGGGAGCCTGCAGGGCTCTGCCACCTCCCTGCCTGCCTCCAGGAAAGGTTTAAAAAGGGACAAGCTTGGGAGACCAAAGTGAACATGGTGCCAACTCTGCCTAAGGCCTGCCCCACCCTCGGTCCTGCCTGGGATCCGCGAGCAGCAAGTACAAGGTAGAGTGGGACCACCGAGAGGTCACGGCTGGGGCATGTCTGTAGGAGATTGGAAAGAACAGAACCAAAAAATAAAAACTCGAAATTAAAAAAAAAAATCAAAAGGAAGGGAAAATTAAAAAAGAAGACAGGAAAAAATATACATGTTATGAAAGGCAAAAAATTACAAACTGAGGAGAGGCACAAAGGACTCCAACATCAAGGCACAGCAAGGCCAGCAGAGAGGAGCACAGGCAGGCACAGCCCCCGACGCGTGTTACACGACAGCTCTGCAGAGAGAAAGGGTTATCCTGCCCCAGCACCCACGCTGCAGGGGGAGCAGGAGCGGGAGCAGGAGCAGGAGCAGGAGCAGAGCATGCACTGCAGGGTGTGGGACAAAGCAGCCATGTCCTCGTAGGAGTGGGACAGCCAGCCCTCGCTTCCCTCCCTGGCATGGGTGCACACACACCATGGTGCACACAACATCCCATGGGTGCACACGAGTGTGGGAGGGACAGAAGGTGCCCGGGGGTGTCCTGGCGAGGGGCAGAGCCTGCAGGTGCCCGCTGGCAGCTCCAGGCTCAGAATGCACAGCGCTCCCAGCCTGTGTTGGACACCAGCGAGGCCTGCTGAGCTCAGGGCATCCCACTGCCCTCATACAGTTCCCTTGGTGCCAGGGCTTTGCCAGGTGCCACGCTGAGGGGACAGGAGCACAGAGCCCCATCAGGCACACAGAGGGGACAGGAATGGGCTCTGTGCTCAGAGCAGCCCTTGGAGATGGCAGAGCTGGACTCCTCTGGGAGATTTTCTAGCGGAGTTTCTGTCACTTTGCTGGCCAAGCACTGAGCAGTCCTGGCTGGGGGAAGCAGGATGGCACAGGTGTCCCCACAGGGACTGGCATGCAGCACACATGGTGGCAGCAGGGGACAAAGGAGGGAACAGCAGGGATGGATGCAAAAAAGGCAAAAAAAAAAAATAAAAAGGACATCGACAGCCTTGGGTTGGTCCCTAAGGCCACAGGGGAGAGAGACAGTGCGAGGCACCACAGCACGTCACAGGAGACAGACAGACAGACAGCCCCGTGCCGATCAGATACGTAAAATATCACCACTCCGGGACCCTCACTGACCTCTAACTTGTTGCTCCAGGTTCAGTATGACTGATACGGCCTGGTGTAGGATTAGCAGTTTGGTCTGCGGTTTTTCGCTGTTTAGGTGCAGTTGGCACATGCGTCCGAGCTCTTTAAAGGCCTCGTTGATGTCACGAACCCGCAGGCGCTCACGGGCATTATTGGCGACCCTCCTTTCTCTCTCTCTCTCGGCTTTTTGCTCTGGGGGAAGAAGATCGTCCTCCTCATCCTCATCTTGACTAATGGTTTAAAATAAGAACGAGACAGGGACATTCCTCGTGTGCACTCTCAGCACTGGTCAACTCACAGACAAGAAACACACGGTGATGCACTGAGATGCCGAGCCCCCCACGTGCCCTGCCAGGACCTGCTGCCTGTGCCACATGCAGGGACGTGCAGGGGCTTCGGAGAGAAGCAGTTAAGGCTCTTCTTCTGCCTCTTTTTTGTTTTGTTTTGAAACAGCAAAGAAAGAAACCACAATGTGATTTAAGGCCTGAGCTTGTTGCCGGGAAAGTGCAGGGTGGTCCAGACAAGGTGAAGGCCAACGCTGGAATCCCCAGCTGGGATTTGGGAAGATGCAGCCCTCTGCCTCCAGGGCAGGAGTGGAGCTGGTCCTGCCTCTCTGGGCACCATCACCCTGGTGAGGTCTCTGAGCTGGTGGCAAGGCCACAGAGCACCCAAAATGCTGAAGGACTCTACTTGAGCCACTGCCATTCCTCTGGCTGGATGTGACAGAGGATACAAGAGCCCAAAGCAGAGAGCAGAGGTGCCCCATGGCAGGGAAGGGGTCAAACCCTGTCTGACTGGGGCTGAGCACTTGCTCCTTCCTTGCACGGCCCCAAGTGCCCACACAAGCAGGTGGGGGATCAGGTGCATCCCTCTGCTTTAGGAGTATGAGGACGCCCTGAGGCCACAGGGACAGGGGCCAGCAGGAGAGGGGCAGGGACACTTCCCCCTGGGGCAGTAGCAGGAGCCCAGACTGTGTGAGACCACACCAGGCTCCAGGGTGGGCAGGGGCTGGGAGGTCTGTGCTGCAGGATGACCCCAGGCCAAACCAGACCAAGCCCAGTGCCTGGTGGGTCCTGGCAGCCAGATCCCAGCCCAAACACCCCTGGCCTGGGAACAGAGAAAGTGAAGGGAGAGACCTGTTCAAAGAGCACCTTGTTCTGGTCCGGGAAGGTTTCAGCTCCTTCTTGTCCTCTTCTGAGTTATCTGCCACTGACGTGTTCTCTTCATCCTCCTTCTCTTCCCTCTTTATTTCACTCGTTCCTGAGGAGACGCTGCTCCGCCCCAGCCCCCCGGACAAGCCTGCAGAGAGAGCAGAGCCACATGCACAGCTTGAGGGGCCTGACCCACACACGAGGCTGGGGGGTCCCCAGGCCCTGCTTCTGCAGTGGCATCCCAAACTCATCCTGCACTGCTGCTCCACACTCAGGGAAGATGAAGGGGGTGCTGGCTTTACCCTATTCTCCCTCTTAATTCCCAGACCCTCCAGTTTGGGAACTCAACCTACACAGCAGAGCACTGTGAACTGTGCACCCACACCTATTGGGGGGATGCGAAAATACAGGTCAGACATGTAGAGTTAGATGGGATATTGGGAAGGAATTCCCAATTCCCACCCTGTGAGGGTGGTGAGACCCTGGCACAGGGTGCCCAGAGCAGCTGTGGCTGCCCCTGGATCCCTGGAAGTGTTCCAGGCCAGGATGGATGGGGCTTGGAGCACTCTGGGATAGTGGAAAGTGCCCCTGCCCATGGGAGGGGGTGGAAGAGGATGAGCTTTAAGGTCTCTTGCAAGCCAGACCATTCTGGGATTCTGTGAAACCCCTGGAAACTGCCCTGTGAATGCTGCAAGGAAGCACCAGCCTTGCAGAGACATCCATCTCCTCCCAGGCTGCTGCTGCACAGGCCTGGACCCAAGCCCCACAGGTGACTCCCCACACCGCCCAGCAGGTGACCCTTAGCACAGGTGAGCCTTGGCACAGGTGAGCCCCACGCTGCTCCCGTGCAGAGCTGCCTTACCACTGTACGTGTCCTGCTGCCTGCTGAGGTCTGGGAGCGAGCTGGGCTGTGATGGAAGTGTGACATGGTTGTGGAGCAAGCTGGGATTGCTGGACAACCCATCTTCAGGGTGGCCTCCTCCCACCTGCAGCACAACGCACAGAGTGAGCCTTAGAGGGGGATGTGTCATGGCCAATGGGGACATTCACCTGAGCAGTCACCTGAGCACAGCCATGTGCTCCCCTCACCCTCCCACCCCTGAAGCTCTGGAATGCAGGAGGGAAGGGCCAGCCTGCTCCAGCACCAGCTCTCTGAGACGTGGTGGGGTCACTGCAGCTCCCTGCTCTGAACAGGAGCTGCACCCAGCCCAGAGCCCATCACTGCTGTCCCCGTCCCCGAGGAAAAGCCCCTCTGTGCCTGGTGCAAGGCCAGCACACCAGAGTGGACATGTGTCCTCTGTCCCTTGAGCACCACTGTTTCTGCCACCTCCCCAGTGCCACCAGAGCAAGGGACATCCCAGCAACGCGAACTTGGCTCCAAAGGGGCTGGAGGCAAAGAGTGAGGCTGTGCCACACAGGCTGGGGGGACTGACAGGACAGAGCCAGCCCCGCGGGCTCCCCAGCTGGCAGCAGCCTGCAGAGGACACATCTCATTCCCTGCTCAGGAGAAGAACCCAGGGAGCCTGGAAGGGGATCACAACTGGTTCTCTGGAGACTGGAGATGTGTCACTGTTTGCTGCAGCAGGCAAGCAGCTCTGCCAAAAATGTGCTGCTGTGGTCACCAACCTCTAGACAAGGGGGGATCCAGGTGACCCTTCAAGGCACCCCAGCATCCATATGCCCAGGGCACCCTGGATCCATCACATTCCCTGCAACTGGAATGAGCCCTCACACACCAGCACTCCTCACAGAGGGACGTGGTGCCTGCCCAGACCATTCAGAGCAGGGAGTTCCTGGTGACACCTGGCACTCCTGTACCACTGGATACCTCTTCTCCTCCCTGCATATCCCAGGGATGCCTTGAAGTTATTTTGACGGATTTCCAACCATGTTGCAGGGTAAGAAGAGCAGCTCTCTCACCACTTCTGCCTGCCCTGAGAAGGGGCAGAAGGGAAGGGCACACCTTCAAGGGTGGACTCAATGTCCGCTGAGCAGCTGTGGCTGCTCCTGGATCCCTGGAAGTGTCCAAGGCCAGGTTGGACATTGGGGCTTGGAGCACTCTGGGACAGTGGAAGGTGTCCCTGCCCATGGAAGGGGGTGGAATGGGATGGCCTTTAGTGTCCCTTTCAGCCCAAGCCATTCTGGGATTCTATGACTCAACTCTCCCTTGCAGGAACATGGGAAGTGACTTCTATGCATGTCACCCATGCAACGCTGCCAACACCTGACCCAAGCTGCACCACACTGAGCTATTCCTGTCCCAAAGGCAACGTCCCCCTGAAGGCCAGGGCATGCCACACGTGACACATGTCCCCAGCGTGTCCCTGCCAGCTCCCACACTCACCAGACTCGGGTGCCTGTTGCCCAGGGCCATGACTGAGGCAGGGAAGGCCTGGCCCAGGCTGCCCACGGCAGCACTGTGTGGTGGTGCAGAGCCCAGCAGCCCGTGCATGTCCCCGTGGCTGCTGGGCATGGCAGAGGTCTGGCCCACGGCATGGTTCCTCAGCACGTGGATGGCTTCATCCAACCTGTCTTCCATTTTGTTTTGCTGGAAGAGCAGGACAGAGACAGGTCTGTGTTAAGTGCCCCATCCCTGCAAGTGTCCAAGGTTGGACAGGCTTGGAGCACCCTGGTCTAGCAGAAGGTGTCTCTGCCCATGGCAGGGGGTGGAACTGTATGAGCTTTAAGATCCCTTCCAACCCAAACCTTTCCATGATTCCAATCCAATTCCATGACTGCAATCCCATAAAGCCAACAGGCCCCTGCTTCTCTGCACTATGGAATGGCTGATGGCAATCCTGGACTCAGATGCCACAGGGCGGGGATGGGGAGAAATAACCCCACCCAGGCAGTGCCATTCCCCAAAGGCACGATGGGTCACATGAGTGGAACTGCTCACGGCAAGGAGGCAGAAACCTGCCAGGAATCCTTTGGGCTGGGCCATAGCCCCGGGATGAGCCTGGGCTGGGGGCAGGGGGAAGGTGCCAGGCTGCCAGGGAATGCCAGGTCAGGGATGCTGCACTTGGCTCTGCTTAGCTGCTGCCACCCAAATATCCATTCCTGACCAACCAGCTGATTCCAGGCATTCAGGGGAGAGGGCATCACCCAAAAACCCTTAACCACCAAGCCCTGAGGGATGAGAGAGAAAAGGAGAAGCTGGATTGTTTTGTGCCACTCACCAAAGTGTGGAGGCTCCCTTCATAGCTGGGAGATAAGGCACCCGCTCCACCCGCCCGCGGCCACTGCGACGAGCCTGGGGACAAACGCACAGTTGGGGACCGGCCATGGCCACGGCTGCCACTAGATGGGGCTGGAAGCTGGGGCACAGCAGCCACCGTGCCATGCACAGCACTGCTCGGGCCACACTGCACCCCCCAGCACTGCACAGGCCACTGTGGCACCACACGGCACTGCACGGGGCACCATGGCACTGCACAGGCCACTGTGGCATCATATGGCACTGCATGGGCCACCACAGCACTGCATGGGCCACCATGGGACTGCATGGGCCACCATGGAAGTGAAGGGGCCACCATGGCACTGCACAGGCTCCTGTGGCACAGCACTGCACGAGCCACTGCGGCACCACCTGCCATTGTGGCATGGGCCACTACAGCCCCACACAAACTCCCATGGCAGTGCATAGGCCACCATGGCACTGCTTGACACCTCCTGGACCATCACAGAGCCCTGTGGCACCACATGGACACTGTGGCACCACGTGGACACTGTGTGGCATCACGAGCTCTGCTCTGGCTCAGACCCCGAGAGGTGCCCAAATGTCCCTCCCTGTTCTCTGACTTGCTGTGACCCCAGGCACAGGGAGCCTGGGCACCAGCTCTGCTGGCCACAACGGGACCTGTCCTGTCCGAGGGGAGCAGCAATGGGCTCTCAGCAGGTGCTGAACATGGATTTTAACCACCTGGTTGCTTCCCAGCTCCCACGGCACTTCTCCCATGGGAGGCAGATTCAACCACAGCCTCTCCAAGATGGGACAGGGTCAGGAATGGCAGGAGAAGGTCCTGGGGTTGCTGCCAGCCCTGGGCTGAGGATTTGGCGCTGACCTGGGAAATTCACTGCCTGGGAACTCCCCAAAACAAATCCAACCCCCCTTACCCTTCCCATTGTCACTCACCTGCAAGGCCCTGTGGGGACCCGACCGGGGTGGAGGGGTTGGAGGAGAAGTTATTGCTAGAGTGGTCGGGGGAGTAAATCTGCAGGGACAGAAGGGAGATGGTCAGCAGTGCCACCCTGAGCTAGCTGTCCCCTCCCAGTGGCACCCACCACCTGCTGGGACCTCCCTTCCCAAACCCACAGCCAGCACAAAGACCAAGCCCAGCTCCCCCATTAACCTTGGGGTCTCTCTCTGTCCCTACTGTCACCACCCCTGAGTGCAGCCTCTGCTCTTCAGGTGTCCTCTCAGGAGGAAGCAAGAGGTCTCAGGAATTGTTGCAGGGTGCTGTCAGCACCCATCTCTGCCATCATGCAAAGATCACCGAATGGGACAGAGGCAACTCTCCGGCAACCCAGTGAGACCAGTGCCCTCCAGTTTGAACCAGCACATACAGAGCAAGGACTAGTGGGACCTGCAAGACCTGCCATAAGGTCTGTGTAGGGTGGTCTTGGCAGAGCAGCATCAGACTGGGAGGGCACAGAGCAGGAAATGGGGCTGCAGGGCCACCACAACCTGCAGTGCCTCAGTTTCCCCATCCACCAAAAGGTGCCAGGACTGAGATGACAGCACATGGAGAGGCAAAAATCCCCCCTCAGAGGCTGCTGTGGATTTGGGGTGCATTCACCAAAGGTGTCCATGTTCCCTGCTGGGTAGAGGGTCCCTGAAGCAGCAGGACCAGGAACGGGTCAGGACTGTCCCGAACTCTTACCGAGGCCAGAGCCTTCCCAAGTGCATCTCCAGAGCTCCCAGCTGTGGTTCCTCTGTTACCTGCCAAGAGAGGACACAGATGCCACTGCCAAGGCCCCAGACCCCAGCAGGACACAGTAACCTACAAGACCTTCTTTGGGGTCACCTGCTCTGGGCTGGAAAATTTCTGCTTTTAGTGCTTTGCTTGAAAATGAAATGTTTGTCCAGCTCGGAGCAGCTTGGACATGGGGCACCTTCCCCTGGAAACTGTCAAGGGGCTGCAGGGACATCTCTCCAAGCTCTGGGCTGGAGGTGTAGTGCCACAACAGCAATCAGACATCTCTGCTGCAGCACAGCCATTGCCATGGGGCATCTCAAACCCCAGCAACCAGTGGATGATCCTGGAAGTCTCTTCCAACCTTAATGATGCTTCCATTCTATGAATTCCAAACTTGCTTCTCCATAAAAAACTAAGGTTTTTTCTACAAATCTGTGTCAGGATCCTCATTTCCTGGGGAGCACGAGCTCATTTCAGTAACAGGTTTTGTAACAGGTTCAGCAGGGTCAGAGATGAAAACACTTGGGGGTTAATGTGGTATCCAAACCCAGCATGAACATTCCCGTTCTGGATCTAGGGGAGCAGCTTCACACAGGTGCAAATCCATCCCACAACTCATCTAAGCCACATCACCTCCAGGAGATAATGCCAGAGCTCCTGGGCTCCTCCCAGACCCACCCTACGAGGTGCAAACACCCAGGTGCTCCAGCGAGAACCTCACTGTGCCTCTTCCCCAGGCACAGGTGACACACAAGGGACCAAAGGTGTCTGGGTGTGCTGGATGCCTCAGGCACCAGGTTTGCACAAGCCCTGGTTTTCCAGGTGAGCCTGTGGCCAGCCCAGGAGCCAGGGGGTCACTCTTGGCCATACCCATGATGCTGTCGGTGCCGCTGATCGGGGGGGTGTGACTGGACACTCCGTACGCTGTGGAGGCTGAGGAGAAGCCGGACACAGAGGGGAGCCCGCCGTTCACCTCTCCTGTGTGCAGCTGGTAGTTCTGGCAGGGAGGGCGACAGGGGTCAGAGGGGCCTTGCAAAAGCTGTGGGGTTCAGCAGCTGGGGCAGGACCCAGGTGGGCCGAACCCACAGCCAGGGGAGAAGGTAGCAGGGAGGTGACACAGCCATGGGGACACGTTACCATGCGTTCATGCTGATGTAAACTGTTGAAGCCACTGGACTGCGGGAGCGGGGACGAGGAGCTGCCCAGCATGGCACCGTAACTCGACTGGCTCATGGCACCTGGGGAACTCCACAGGTCTGCTGAGTTATGGAGTCCGTCTGCAAGGAACCCAGAGCTGAGTGGGGCAGGGACAGCAGCCCCCAGGAGGGGACAGGTCAGCCCTGGCTGAGGGGCTGGGACTGTCCCCACCACGTCCTGCCTGTGCTGAGCATCACCTGCTGAGCAAACCAGGACAGAGTCTGTGGGCTAGGGCCAGGAGCCCAGGAAGGGCTGGAGCTGTGCCAGGGCTTGGCATGCAGCTCAGGGAAAGGTTCTTCCCCCCGAGGGTGCTGGGCACTGCCCAGGCTCCCCAGGGAATGGTCCCGGCCCCAAGGCTGCCAGAGCTCCAGGAGCGTTTGGACAGCGCTCTCAGGGATGCTCAGGGTGGGATTGTTGGGGGGTCTGTGCAGGGATAAGCATTGGACTGATGATCCCTGTGGATCCCTTCCAGCTTAGGATATTCAATGATTTTGGGGCTGCATCGTGTTTCATGCACTCCTGCCCTGAGCTCCCTCCAGATGTGCAATCCCTCCCATGGTCCATAAGAGGCAAGGCTGTCTGTGCTCTGCCTGCCTTGTGGGATCACAGTCTGGGAATAACTCACCTGTCATATAAAAGGCTCCAGGATACACAGTGCTGGGAGGTTTCGAGGGCGTATATCCAGCTGGATCCCTGCTGTAGTCATCACCTGAGTTGGATGGATACACCTGTGGGGCAGGAAAGAGGTTGAAGGGAAGGGCTTGGTCAATCCTTGGCCTCACATCCTCACCGTGGCTGCTCCCAACCCTGCACAGCTTAAACTTCAAACCTCAAACTTCAGCAACCTTTGACCTCCTCTCTCATGGCAACAGAGCAGCAAGGGCTTCACTCAACTGACCTTTCAGGGTGTGGAGGGACAGGATACAGGGAATGCCTTCCCATTAACAGAGGACAGCAATGGATGGGATATTGGGCAGGAATTGTTCCCTGTGAGGGTGGGCAGGTCCTGGCACAGGGTGCCCAGAGCAGCTGTGGCTGCCCCTGGATCCCTGGCAGTGTCCAAAGGCCAGGCTGGACTGGGCTTGGAGCAGCCCGGGATTGAGGAAGGAGTCCCTGCCATGGCAGGGGTGGAGCTGGATGGGCTTTAAAATCCCTTCCAACCCAAACCATCTGATGAGTCCAGGAGCTTTGCTTTGATTCATCCCACAGCAGATCTGGGGGGGGAACTGGAGCAGCTCAGCCGAAATCCTCAAATGGCACAGCCCTGTGTGGAGCAGGGCAGGGGACAGGGCAGAGGGCACAGAGAACATCACAGGACAGGGCACAGAGGACAGGGCAGAGGGCACAGGGCTCCTCTCTGTTTGTTCCTGTCACCCTCCTTGATCCCCAGAACCTGCCCAGCTCCAGCAGAAGTTTTGACTCTGCTCCAGTTCTGTTTTCCATGGTTATAACTTTTTTCTGGGTAACCACAAAAGCCACCACTGCTGCAGTGACTGGGGGGACGGGCTGGGTGGTGGCAGTGGGCACCCCCCTGTGCCAGCCCTGCCCTGTGCCAGGCTCCTGAGCACAGCCCCTGCTCAAAACCCACAGGGAAATCGGGCTGAGGGGAGCTGAGGCGGGGTGGGGGGGCTGAGCAGCCCCTCACAGTCATTGTCACAGGGGAGGGGACAACCCTCAGACAGCCCTCACACAGCTCTTGGGTCAGATTTCTGCAGCAGTGCTGTGATTTAACAGCACATCAAGCACAAGAAAAAGCTTTTCCTTCCCTTCTAAATTAACCAAACCCATCCTAGAAAGCCCTGACCGAAAATCAGCTTCTGCCAGGACAAAAACAGACTTTTCTTTTTTTAAAGTAGAAATTCAACATGCAAAGGAACCGAAATGGCATTCAAAGAAACTGAAATAGCACTCAGATGATGTGAGAACTTCTGTCACAGCTTATTTTCATCCCCTTTGATTCATTCTGAAACCGATAATCTTTTTTTTTAAAATCCAGCCGAAAAGCAGAGGTGGGGCAGGGGCCGGGCTCTGCCCGGCACACACAGTTCTCTTTGGGAAGGAAACTTGCCTGAGTTTCTTTTTCCCCACAGCCAGCTGCTCCCTTCCAGCCCTCGTCATCAAGCAAAAAGGGACAAAATTGATGGTGGGTAATAAAAGACACAATCAGAGAATCCTTAAGGTTGGAAGAGATCTTTAAGTCCAGCCATAAAAGCAGCAGCACCACCATGTTCACCACTAAGCAATGTCCTCAAGTGCCACAGCCACATGTTTTCTGAACAATTCCAAGATGGTGACTCCACCATGGCCCTGGACAGCCTCTGCCAGGCCCCTTTTTGTTTAAAAAAACAACCCCAAAGCCCCCCAGAAATCAACAAGGGTCAATGGAGCTGGGAAGGGTCTGGAGCCCCAGGAGAGGCTGAGGGAGCTGGGGAGGCTCAGCCTGGAGAAAAGGAGGCTCAGGGGGGCCCTTGTGGCTCTGCACAACTCCCTGACAGGAGGGGACAGCCGGGGGGGTCGGGCTGTGCTCCAGGGAACAGGGACAGGAGGAGAGGGAACGGCCTCAGGCTGGGCCAGGGGAGGCTTAGATGGGATATTGGGAACATTTCTTCACTGAAAGTGTGATCAGGCATTGGAACTGCCCAGGGCAGTGGTGGAGTCACCATCGCTGGAAGTGTTCAAACAACGTGTGAATGTGGCACTTGGGGACATGGGTCAGCAGTGGCCTTGGCAGTGCTGGGGAACAGTTGGACTCGTGACCTTCAGCGGGCTTTTCCAACCTTAATGACTCTCTGATTCTACAGGGAACTCGTAAAATAAAGACAAAAAAAAGAGAGAGGGGGAAGGGCAAATCCTGACAGACACTGGCAGCTGCCCTTTGTCCCTTGCTCAAAAAAGAGAATTCCAGGCCCTGGTCCCCAGGATGCTGCCGGGTGCTGTGGGCAGAGGGAGCTGCGCGTGGGCTGGGGGGATGGGGGAGGCACTGGAGAACGGGAATCCAGCAAATTGACTTTTCCTATAATTTGATTAAATAGCGGGAGCCGGGACAGGAATGGAGCGCAGCACGTCTGAGAGCCCCGCGCCATCTGGCAGGGGCTGGCTCGGGGCCAGGCGCCCGGCAGCTGCACCAACAGCCAAGCCAGGAACCCACCGAGAAAACAACGGCGAGAAAATGGCAGCGATGGAGCAGGGAGGCAGAGCAGGGGCAAGTTCACCTTGCTGTGTATTCACCCCGCTCCACCACCCCCACAACATCTCCTGCTGGATCCTGGGGGGCCAAGTTTCACCACAATCCTGGCCCTGACCCCTGCTGATTTTTCCTTTTGCTGCCCAGCACAGGGGAGGCTGTGAAAAGCCAATTCCATCCTTCTGTGCACGGAGCCAGGAGCTCGGAGCCGTGTGCTCCTGTAAATCAGGGCCAGCCCCGTTCCCCAGCCCGTGGCCCCAGCGGCCTCGGGGACCTCCAGGTGAGGTCATTTCCTCTGGTTAAAATTTGCCAGCACGGCGAGAGCAGCTCGAAAAGCCCCAGTGCTGGGATTTGCAGCGCTTTGTGGTCTTGGGCTGTTTTTCCCTCCCTGTTTTTCTTACTTAAATGCAGGAGCTGGGGTGGGACTTTGGGCAGACTGAGGCTAAACAGAGCAGTGACCAGACTGGGAATGCGCAGCCTGAAACAGCTCCCAGGCACTGAACTCACTGCGGCAACAAAATCCTGCAGGAACCCACTTGCACAAAATCCCTCTGGCAGTGCAGCCGATGTGGGGCCACATCCAGCCCTGGATCCTGTGCCCAGACACAGCAGCCTCTGGCCAGGAGCTCCAGAGCTGCAGGGAGCCTCCAAGGGGCTCCATGCCCTGAGGGCAGCTCCAACCCAGCACCTACTGCATAGAACCATCAGATGGTTTGGGCTCAGAGAGACCTCAAAGCTCATCTCATACTACCCTCTGCCATGGGCAAGGACACCTTCCACAATCCCAGGCTGCTCCAAGCCCTGTCCACCCTGGCTTTGGATACTTCCAGGGAATCCAGGGGCAGCCACAGCTGCTCTGGGCACCCTGTGCCAGGGCTGCCCACCCTCATGGGGAACAATTCCTTCCCAATATCCCATCTAACCCTGCCCTCTGGCTCCTGGAGCCCCTTTAGTCCTTGCAAGGGTCTCTGAGTCTCCCTGGAGCCTTCTCTTCTCCAGGTGAACAGCCCCACTCTCCCGGGCCTGGCTCCAGAACAGAGGGGCCTCAGCCCTGGGAGCAGCTCCGTGGCCTCCTCAGGATAAAAGCACTGAGCCCAAAGGCCCTGGTGCCCAGCACAGGTACCTCGGTACCTCTGTGCCCTCCCTGCCTGGCATTGCTGCTCACACGCCCTGAAGCCCCTCATGCTGCCAGTGCCTCTTGGAGTCTTTGGCATCACTCCCTGTTCACCCACCCACCCTCAACTCCTGCAGCCACTGACCTCAGCGAGTTTTCAAAGCAGCTCGGGAATTACAGATTAAAGCACTTCATTTTAATGAGATGCTGATTAACCTATTTATTTTGCACGGGGTCCAGCGATAACATGGGGCGGGCTCCTGCATGGGCGAGTCAGACAAGAAAGAGCCTTTGATCCACTGCCTTTGAGGCCACTCCTGCCTCACACTTCTCCTGCTGCCTAGGCACAGATCTGTCTCTCCAGGTGTGGAAGTTCAAAAACAAACCAGGAAGCCAGAGCTCTCAGCACAGGGAGGGTGAGGGAAAGAGGCAGAACCAGCCTGTGCTCTGAAAACTGGAGCTTTGGCATCAAGGGGCAGCTGAGGCAAGAGCCAGGGCAGAGAGGGAGATTTAGGTTGGATGCTGGGGAGGTTGGATGTGAGGGTGGTGAGGCCCTAGCACAGGGTGCCCAGAGCAGCTGTGGCTGCCCCTGGATCCCTGGCAGTGTCCCAGGCCAGGCTGGAGGGGGTTTGGAGCAGCCTGGGACAGTGGGGAGTGTCCCTGCCCATGGCAGTGGAGGCACTGGATGAACTTTAATGTTCCTTCCAACCCAAACCATTCCATGATCCTATGAAAGGCTGGAATGCAGGTGTCACTCAGACACAGGGAAGGGGCTGAGCTGTGGCAAATGCCAAGCAGCTCTTCCTGTGGGAATCGGGGCCCTCCAGAGCCCTGCCAGCAGGATGGGCCAAGCCCCAGCACTTTGAAATTTGAGGCCAATAAAGGCCATTTGTTAGCGTGATATTTTCCCCACATGTCGACTGGGGTAAAGCTCCAAATTTCACACAGAAACTCGAGGCAGCAACAGGGATTGTGACTCGAGCAGGTTTTCTCTGTAAAAACACAGACTCGGAGTTGGTCTCTGCCTCACATGGATCCACATAGCTCCTCCAACACCCCCAGGTCTGTGAGCCCAACCTGGCAAGGCCTTGGTGCCCTCCTCTCCCTCTGTCCTCCCAAACCACCTCGAGTCCTATCCCAAAGGCAGAGCCTGTGCTGGAGGTTCCCACTCTGCATTAGCAGTCAGGGAATGCCACAGCAGGGATTTTCCCCATGGATGGGGGAGTTCCCTGGGGAATGGAGGAGGATTTTCCCCATGGATGGGGGTGTTCCCTGGGGAATGGAGGAGGATTTTCCCCATGGATGGGGGTGTTCCCTGGGGAATGGAGGAGGATTTTCCCCATGGATGGGGGTGTTCCCTGGGGAATGGAGGAGGATTTTCCCCATGGATGGGGGTGTTCCCTGGGGAATGGGGGAGTGTCACCCCAGCTCTGGCAGAGAGTGAGGGCACATCTCCAGCACTGCCCCGGGCTGGGGACAGAGCCCAATGGGCCAGAGCCGTCCCCCTCCAAGCACACAAACATTCCAGCCAGGAATGCAGCCCCGGCCGCCAGACAGCTCCCGTGTTCCTGCAGGAGCCCTGCAGCCCGCTCCAATTAGCTTTCCTGGAGATCCCATTACTCGCAGCCACAAAGCCATTGTTGAGTTTATTCCCCTGAACAGCCGCGGGAGCAGGGATCGCTATTCCTGCAGGCTGCTCAGCTTTCCTGTAAAGCAGCGCACACCTGGAGCGGGCTCAGCTGCCTCCCCCAGCGCAACTGCGCCGCTTCCCCCGGCCCTGAAAGCCGAGCCCCGGTGTCGCCTTTCACTCGCGACATAGCGGCAAACCCGGCCCAGGCTGCGGGCCAGGGGCCCACGGCTCCGGCTGCTTCCCCTCGGAGCTCTCCCCATTCTCATACACGGGAAATCCCGTCCCCAGCCCGCTGCCATCCCAGCCCGCCATGGCCGGGATTGCCCGGGGCCGCAGGGATGGTTCCCAGGGCACGGGAAATGGGAACACGCTGCTGCCACTTACCGAGGAGGGGAGTCCAGGAGGCACCTTCCGAACCTTTTTGGGCTGTCCATCTGGGGCACAGAAAAGAGGATCTGAGTTTTCAAGGGGTTAGAGGGAGGGGGAATGAGCTGCAGCAAAAGACTCCAGGTTGGAAACTGCAGGTACAGACAGGACTGAGATCCCAAATGATCCCAAATGTGGCCAAGGAAGCATCAGCAGTGAAAATGTCCAAGGATGAGCCTCTCCAAATCTTGTCTGCACCCTTTGAGGGCAGGTTTCACACCCACACAGAGATCCCAGGACAGTAAGGGCTTGTTGGAAGACACTGAGCACATAAATATAATAACATGTAATGTTATAACCCCACACTGGGGTTTTTTTTGGAAACACTTTAAAATTTGAAGTGGGTTTGTGAAGAGAGGATGCAGAAAGGGAACACATGCAGGGCTGGGCTGTATTTTCATTTGCTTCCTACACAGGGATAGTCTTGGGAAAGCTTCACTGCTGCAGGAGGCAGGGACACACCCCAGCCCATCCAGTTTCAGCTCTGGAGGGGGGACAGAGTGTCCTGGAGGAAGGGGACAGTTCAGGGAGCTGGCAGGAAAACATCTAGAAGTGGCTCAAGGGGAAACACAGGCTAAATTAAAAAAAAAAAATGTATTTTTCATAATTATTATTTTAATAACTATTTTCCCATAATTACGTTTTATTGTTTTTCATTATTTATTATTTTTCATAATTATGGAAAGCCCTGGCTGGGGGGTGCAGGGTGCTAACACAGCAACCTGCCAAGCCAGGGACTCTGCTGGGATGCACCTCCAGAGCAGAAATTCATCCCACAGAATGCTAGAGAATCATTTTCCAGGCTGAAACCAGAGTAGGTGCCTTTTTCTGAAAAGCACTGAAATATGCACCCATCACTGGGTCACTTCTGGTTTCATTTGTTGGGGAAAGCCCGAAATAGCAGCAGTAAAGTGGCTCTGGAGGGTGCAGGGGAACTGTGATGAGAAACACAAGTTCTGGGGAACTGGAGCTTGTCTTCCCTCTGAAGTTAAATTCACATCTGACCCCGGGCTTTGGTAAAAGCTGATTCCCAGGTCGATCCAGACATGGGCAAGCCCTGCTTGGGAACAGCAGAGCGGGCAGGGAGTGCTCCTGGAGCAAACATTCCCTGTGCACAGCGCCCTCACCTCCCGCTGCCTCCTGCCCTGCTCCTCCCAGTCCTGCCTGCTGCAGCTCCTGGAGAGCCACCAGCCATAGAGAGAGCCTCCAGGGCAGCCCGGGGTCTGCCAGCAGGGAAGAGTGATGTGCAGTGTGGCTGGAGGGGCTTTTACAAGAGCCTCAAGCCATTTGCTGCTTTCAGCTAATCTGGTATTTTCCAGACAGAGGGAAATTGTACCTGATTCTGAGCACCCCTTTTTTGACGTTAGATCTCTCTCTCTCTCTGTATATATAAGAGATATTTATATGCATTCCCTCCCCAAAAAAGACTAAATGCCAAATTCATGCCAGGGGCACATGACAACATCAGTCGCTCATTCCCAACATCAATGTCCTCATTCCCAAAGGCAGATGTGACAAGGGCACCTGCCCAGGGGGCATGGTGGCACCCGGGGGACATGCAGGCACTCACCTATGCTGCTCTCAGCACCTCTCCTTCGAGGATTGTTGGGATAAGAAAAATACTGAGACCCCCCTTTGCCCCCGGTGGGGGACAGCGTGCTCGGGCTGGCGATTCCCATCTCGCCGGGCAGGAAACCAGGCTGCAAACAAGGAGAGAGAAAAGCCCTTCCATGGAATTACACTGCAAAACGACTCGCTGGCAGAGAACAGAGCTGCTTTGAGCCACCTTCACACCAATTCAGCTGAGGGGAAAAATAAACATGAGCCAGGGGGCCAGGAGGGAAAGCAAATGCGTAAATATGGGGGTGGAGGTGGGGGATTAGGTGTGGAGGAACAAAAGGGGCTTTCAGCTTGTGCTTTCCTGCGGGACCCCAGCAAGGAACCTCTGCAAAGCAGGGATGCAAACCAGCAGGTGCCATGGTGGGGGACATCGTGGTCCCACAGTCACCTTGCAGGTGCCATGGTAGGACCATCATGGTCCCACGCTCACCTTGATGTCCAGGAGGACAAGATGAGCCCCATGTCACCAGCCTGTGTCGTGGCCAGTGCCCTGGAATGGCGCTGCCACTGCTCAGGGTGGTTTTCTCCTGAGTTTTATCAGGGAAAAGCCAAATCCCTCTTTCTAAAGCCAGGAAACTCCTCCCTCGTGTTTATCCCGGCTGACCTTGGGCACGCTGGGAAGCAGGGCAGAGCTGGGGGAGCTGGAGCCCAGGGTGCTCCCTCCTGGGCCAGAGCCTCTCCTCCAGCACTGCCCCTCTCACCTCGGGAGGAAGTTCAGTGTATTTACATGGAACTGAACAGGGCTGGCAAAGGGCCCTCAAGTCCCAAAAGCTCAGCTTTGACCCATCTTCCGAGGGCAACACATGGAAATAAAGGAGGATTTCAGGCTTTTGAGAAACTGGAAAGAAAAACCTTTGCTTTCAAACTCCATCTCCTCCAGAAAGGGGTCAGGGAGGGAAAGAGGAGCTCGTGTGTTCACAGCTGGTGACATTCCTGCAATCTGTTCCACTGCTCAGGTTTCCTCTGCTCCGGACCCGCTCTGTGCTCGGCCAAGGAAAGCACCCGGAGGGATCCCGGGAGCTGCTGCCCTGCTCCTCCTGCAGGAGCCCACTGGGATTTTGAGGCAATTTCCCAGAGAAAGGGGTTTTCTTCCCATTTCCTCTCCTTGGGGATGCCCCAGGAGATGGTTCGGGGTTAAACAAGGGGGAAATGCTCTGCCAGCTGTGCCCCAGAGCAGGGCACTTTTGGGGAAAAACCCGATCCCCATCCAGGGCAACTCCAACAGACAATTTTTCATCTTTGCAAAAATAATTGAAAAAAAAGGTCAACCCCCCTCACTCCCTCAAACTGGAGCCAGAAGCAACAACTGCTCTGGGGGCGACAGAGGCTCCATTGGCCTCCCCCCCACCCCCTACAAGGGGGTTTTGTCTCCTCTCCACATCAAGTGGGATTTGCCACCCGATCCCAAGCCCTGTGCCTGCCTCTCCTGGGGCCTCTCCTGGCCATTTGCCCCCCCATTTCTGTTACCTTATATTCCCCCTCCTCCAACGAAAGCCCAGCAAAACCATCACATCCAAAAGCAACACTTGGCACTGGGCCCGGTTTTCTTTGAGCAGCTTCAGTGGTAAATGAAATCCACTCTGGCACAGCCAGCACAGCTGCTCCAGCAAAGGAAACATCCTCACTTCAGAGAGGAGGAAATTATGACAAATTTGTGTAAAATTAAAACATGTAATATGTGTGTGTGTACATGGATAAAATAAAAGCTGTCCGGCCAAGAGCTCCTCCCTTGGCTGCAGTGCTGGGACTGTTTCCCCAGGGCCACGCCGGGCACTGAGGGGCACTTGGAGCCACACATCAAAGGGAGGTGCTCGCTCCTTCCTGACAAACTATTTCTGGATGCTGGTGGCAGCACGAGAGGTTATCTCAGGGCTTGGATTGACACCTGTGGTATTCCCCACAGGAACTAAAGCTGTTCCCCCAGCAGAGTCCCGGGGTTCACATGGGGTGACCCAACGGGGCCAGGCTGTGTCTGCTGGAGGTGGCTCTGGTGTGCTGGGTCCCTTCCAGGATTGTGGAGATCATGTTGTCCCAGAAGGATTTGGGTTGGGACCCTCCCAGGGAACAATTCCTGCCCAATATCCCATCCGCCCTGCCCTCTGGCAGTGGAAGCCATTCCCTGTGTCCTGTCCCTCCATCCCTTGTCCCCAGTCCCTCTCCAGCTCTCCTGGAGCCCCTTTAGGCCCTGCAAGGAGCTCTCAGCTCTCCCTGGAGCCTTCTCCTCTCCAGGTGAGCACCCCCAGCTCTCCCAGCCTGTCCCCAGAGCAGAGGGGCTCCAGCCCTTGGAGCATCTCCGTGGTTCCTCTGGCCTGGCTCCAGCAGCTCCACGTCCTGATGGAGCTCCAGGGCTGGACAGAGAGCTCCTGCTGCAGGTCCTGCATCAACAGCCCCACCATAAAGCCACAGCTCCACCTGACAGTCACTCAAATGATGCTGCAGCAGCACAGAAACCACGTCAGAGACCCTCCCTCCCCAGAACTGGGACACAGGACACTGGCCAGGGAACTGTGAGTTGCTGCTGAAAAGGGAAAGCCCAGGCAGGCAATGGAGGGGATGGAGCTTCCTGGAATGCTCCCCTGCCCACGGCCAGCCTGGCACAGGGAAAAGTGTTGCTTGGATCTGACTCCCTGGAACTCCCCAGCAAGGCAGCATGGCTGGGTCACAGCTGATCAAATCCAAACCAGGAGTAACAATAACAAAACAAGTGAGGCTGAAGAAGATTGGGAAAGAATCGAGAGGCTGCTACAACCAACATTTTCTAACCTCTGACAACTCTTCTAAGCCAGAAGCACACACCAGTGTGAACCACCAACACCCTACAGAGGTTTTGGAGCAGGGCAGAGGCTTCCCAGGACCCCACGCACAGAGATGAGATGTAAATCCAGGCTGGTTTTCATTACCAGACTTTCACTCTCGGGAGTCAGTAAATGAAGCAGAAAATCTCACTGCATTTTATCATTACCTGGCTTAGTCCTGGCATCCCTGTGTCTCTTCCAAATGTGGAGTATGAGGCTCTTTCACTGCTCTTCCCTGCAGAAGAAGAAGAGAAAATACAAGGTTTGGGGTAAGAGAGAGGAGAGGGGAGGGGTTTTTTTTGCCCCCAGGCACCTGGATCCTGCTAAGGGACAAATCCTGTTCCTGTGCGGCAGCTTGCCCTGACCTCCCACGAAGGGAAGCCTGAAAAGCTCGTGCTAAATCAGGAGCTGCTTTCAGTTCATGGAGAGCAGGTCCATAAACACCAAAAGCCTGGAGCTGCAGTGGCACAGGGAAGTGCTTGTGGCCATGGAAACTGGCAGTGTCAGCCCCGAGCCAAAAGCTTGCTGCAGACACCGCAGAGCTGCCAGCTGGACTTGGCAGGGCCAGGCTGGAGCAGACCAAGGGCCAGGAGCAGTTACCAGAGCCCGGGTGTGCTTTCCAGACAGCAGGAAATGCAATCCCAGCACATGAGAGCTGAGCTCCTGCTCCACACAGGGCTGTGGGCACCTTCCTCCCCTCTCCTGGGTGAGCTTCAGCTTCCCAAAACCTGTGGTTCCTCACAGCCAGAGCATCGCTGCCAGTGGGGATCTGGGTGCCAACAGCCCCGTGCCAGCAGTGCCTGTGTGCCCCTGTGAACTTTATAGAATCCCAGAAGGATTTGGGTTGGAAAGGACCTCAAAGCTCATCCAGTGCCACCTCCTCCATGAGCAGGGACACCTTCCACCTTCCAGGCTGCTCCAAGCCCCAATGTCCAGCCTGGCCTGGGACACTGCCAGGGATCCAGCCACAGCTGCTCTGGGCACCCTGTGCCAGGGCCTGCCCACCTTCCCAGGGAACAATTCCTTCCCAATATCCCATCCAGCCGTGTCCTCTGGCAGTGGGAAGCCATTGCCTCTTGTCCTGGTACTCAGGATCAATGAGGGCTTCTCTCACAACCACCTTACCCTGTACAAATGCAGCTGTGGGATGTTCCCTCCCTGAAACATCCTGGCACTCTCCTGCCTCATGGGCACTGCCCTGGGCACAGCATGGCCCCAGCCAGCAGCAGCCAGGGGGGCCAGGACAGCAAAGGACACAAGAAAGGGAGGAAGGGAACAGTTCTATGCTGTCCCTGGAGCAGCTGGAGGCACAACAGTGTCCTTTGGGATTCTCTCCATCCCCCTAAAGCAAAACCAGACACTCTTCTAGTGGGGAACAGGCACTCCACCAGGCCCCACCCTCAAACCCTTCCCGAAAAGGGGATCACAGATCACATCCTGCTGCCGGTCTGGCTTAGGGAGCAAAATTGGGAGGGGCAGGATTTTGCCAATCTGCTTAGTCTAAAGCCAGCCCCGGACCCACTAAGATGCAGGTTAATGCACTGGGGCGACGCTGAGGCTGGCAGGATTCTCCCCAGCCCACTAAGAGGTTTTTGGGGAGCAGATGAAGAGGGGAAGGGAAGCCTCAAACCAGCCCCCTGAAGCTCAGGGCCCAGAGTGCCAAACTGGTTTGTGTTGGAAGGGATCTTGAAGATCATCTCATTGTAGCCCCTGCCATGGGTAGGGACACCTTCCACTGTCCCAGGCTGCTCCAAGCCCTGTCCAGCCTGGCCTGGGACACTGCCAGGGATCCAGGGGCAGCCACAGCTGCTCTGGGCACCCTGTGCCAGATGGGAAGAGAGGAGGCTGCTCATTTTGCAACCTTACCATGGAGGACTTTAACTCAACCCAAAAATTTTAGAGTGGATTCCTCCACTCCAACCCCCCAAGCCCCAGACCCCCATTCCTGCTGGGAAGGTCCTGGCAGGGTGCAGCCTCCCCCTCCCTCTGTCCAGTGACAGCCGGAGGCTCTGGGTGCTGCTGCCATTTCCTTTCAGAGGCTTAAACGCTAAGTAAACAAAGGTCAAAGTGTCAGAGGATGGATCTCCTAAATGACCTAATTTCTAAAAGAGCTTAAGAGCTCGATCCGCCACAGCACCAGCCACGGGCACAAAGGACTCAGCAGGTTGTGGCATCAGGCAGGTCCTGATTACTCCTAAAGCAGAGGAAAAGCAGGGTAATGCCAGGGGGGTTTAGCTGGACAGCAGCAGCAGCCAAGTCTCCCATTTGATAACACACTGCTGCTTCCATGTGTGACTGCAGTGGGAACCACAGAATCACAGAATGGTTTGGGTTGGAAGGGACCCTAAAACCCATCCAGTTCCACCCCCTGCCATGGGCAGGGACACCTTCCACTGTCCCAGGGTGCTCCAAGCCCCAACTAGCAGCCTCTTCCATCAGCCCAGAGAAACTGGGCGGAAGCAGGGGACTCCTGGATATGTGTGAGAAGGTGAAGGGACACTGGGCAATCCCCAACCATGTGATGTTTAACAGGGCAAGTGTGGGATCCAGCCCTGGGATGGGGCAGCCCTGGATGCAGGGACAGGCTGGGAATGAGAGGCTGGAGAGCAGCGCCGTGGGAAGGGACCTGGGGGTCCTGGTGGGTGACAAGTTGGATCTGAGTCACTGCTGGCAGCCCAAAGGGCCACCAGGCCCAGGGAGGGATTGTCCCACTCTGCTCTGCACTGGGGCAGCCTCACCTCCAGTGCTGGGGGCACCTTGGGCACCACAAGATCAGAAGGACCCAGAGGTGTTGGAGAGTGTCCAAAGGAGGGACACGGAGCTGGGGAAGCTCTGAGGAGCAGCTGAGGGCACTCGGCT